ACATATATCTATTTTCTTGCAAGCAGCTGTGGTGCTGAGAGGCTGGAGAGTGTCACTTGTGTGTGTGCTGCTGTGTGTGAGGTTCATGGATCATTTCAGACTGGGAGAGGACTGGGGAGGTAGAATCATTCCCTCAGCTCTCTGTGGCTTTCCCCCTGGAGTATATCAATATTTGGATGACAAGGGATGTCTCAGTCTGTGTTTAATGATTGCTGGGTGTGTAGAAGGGAGATGCTTATGGTTTCTGTTTGCATTTTATCCTTCTTTTAATCATGCTTTGTTTTGTTTTTGTTCTTCTTTTATTTGTTTTTGAATTGCAGCAGCTGTTGCCTGGTAAAAAGTTTTGGGAATCTGATGATTCCAGCAAAGATGGACCAAAAGGGATATTTCTGGGAGATCAGTGGAGAGACAGTGCTTGGGGAACATCAGGTAGCTCAATTCTTTCCTTCATTTAGTTGGGGTTCAATCCAACTCATCTGCTCCACATCTCTGGCCAGACACAGCTTGGAAAAGACTGAAACCAAAAAACTGATAGGAGAACTCACATTATTTTATGCCAGAATTAAGTTATCCCTAGATATTAAAAGATTGTCTCCTGTCAACCTGTATAAACCCATGTTTATTGGCTTAAAAGTGTTCAATTGCCCTGAAAATGATGATTTAAATTTCCTGATGTGTTTTCTGCCTTGGGATGAATTACCTGTAAGTTTGAATATAAAGATGTCGGAGAACAAGATTAGGAAAAAAACACTCTACATTTTTAAAACACTAAACCCAAACCCAACACTCAGTTTATGAAAGAAAAGAAATGCTGGTTTGAATTTGTCTGCCAAGGATTTAGTTCTTGGATCAGGTACTGTCCCTGATGTTGAGCTTCAGGGCAGAGTGTTCAGGTTGGGTTTAGTTAAGTGGCACAAAATCCCCTGCAAGTGCTGGGTTTGAAGTGCTAACCTTTCATTTCTTATTTTCTGTGGTTTCTGTATGGAATGAATATGCTCCTTAAACACTTCTGGGGTTTCATGCAGCTTCCAAACATCTTCAGCTCCCAGGGAGTTGGGATTTACAGCAATCACCCTGTGTGTGGTGCTTTCTCCTGACCAAAACACCCAGTGTTAAGCTGAAGGCACTGAGGTAGTGATAAGAGCAGGTTTTATTATTCAAAGGGAAAAATGGCTGTGGAAAGGAGATGAAGCTGCTCAAAATTGGGATCAATTGGGTCTTGCCTGTGGGCACTGGGGAGGCTGTGGGGAGCTGTGCCTCCAGCTGCCCTCTGTGCCCATCTGCAGCACACCCAGCCCTGGGCACCACCTCCTGCTTGGTGGTTGTGTCAGTCCAGCCTGGAGCTGAGGTGGATCAAAGGGCTGAGCCAGGCTGAGGAGACTTTCTCCTTTGCTGCCTTTTGTTGGGCTGGTGACATCTCCCAGACAGGCTGGGCCAGAAATTGTCACGAATCAGTTGGGGGAGGTCACCTCCCACCTCAGCTCATCCCACATCTCCAGGAGGCACAGCTCTTCCTTAGCTTTTCCCTGGTTTGCTCTCAGTTAATCCTATGCACCTTCCAGCCTGGATTCCTGAGCAGCACTGGGAGCCAGGGAAGGCAGAGATTTCCAAAATGAAGGGAAGAGCCATGTCTGAGCAGTTCTTGAGGTTTCTGCCCCCGAGCAAGGGACACAGCTCAGATGTGAGGTGTAGTGTCCTTGGCCCACAGACTACCTTGTCCCATGATCCATGGGATGGAGGAAGCCTGGTTTGCTGTAAAATGCTCCATCCATTCTCCTCCCTGTCTGCTGAGTGTGCACTGTAGACCTCCCATATGGATTTAGGTTTTCACTCCTTTGCTTCCAAGTTGTGGATTGAAAGGTTTGGAGCCTAAAAGCAGCAGTGCTGCTCAGGCCTGTCCCTCCTTCCCCTCCTGGGGGCACAGGAATGCAGTGAGACCTGCTGGGACTCAAGCTGAGTTAAAACTGGCTTTGCTCTCTTCTTTCTTAGCTTTATCCCCCAAAAGCCTCCCCTGTCCACGTCACTTAGTGGGTACACCAATACTGAGGGAGAAGGCAGGGAAGTGTAGCCAGGAGCAATGGCAGAATGGAATTACCTCTACCTGCTTTGTAAGGAAGCTCCAGTATCAATATCACTGGATGGTGATGTCCCTTCCATGTCCCTTCCACCATCCCCTGCCAGCTCCTGGGTCAGGTGCTTGTTATTTTTGCCTCTCTGCCTATTGCCAGGAGCACAGAACTCCTTCCCTTCCCTCCTTAGGGATGTAGGATCACTTCCTCCTGCCTAGCCAGCAAGTTCTGCAGAGCCCATAAGGTCATTGAGACATCTGTCCTCGTTGGATGTCCAACTCTCCCCTGCAGGGATGGCACAGGAATGGAACTGGTGCAGGAGGACAGGGAGTGAGGTAGAAGAAATTGAATAATAAATGTTTTCTTGAGGAATCAGCCAAGAGAAATTCTGATCATGACATGAACACAACAGGTCATACAACCAAGAGCACAACCATAGGCTGCTCTAACAGTAGGAAGAGGTTTTAAAGGACACAACCAAACTGTTTTTTACTGTACTAACACTAACAGTAGGAAGAGGTTTTAAAGGACAAAACCAAACTGTTTTTCACTGTACTAACACAAGAGTTTTACTAGAACTAACAACTAGAACTCTATTTTTTTAATTGCAACCTTTAATTAGTCTTAAATGCCTAAAACTTTATAATTCTAGATTTTAAATGTAGGTTTGGAGGTTCTGCTATTAAACAGTAGGAAGAGGTTTTAAAGGACAAAACCAAACTGTTTTTCACTGTACTAACACAAGAGTTTTACTAGAACTAACAACTAGAACTCTATTTTTTTAATTGCAACCTTTAATTAGTCTTAAATGCCTAAAACTTTATAATTCTAGATTTTAAATGTAGGTTTGGAGGTTCTGCTATTACAAAGAAAGTCTTAAATGCCTAAAACTTTATAATTCTGGATTTTAAATGTAGGTTTGGAGGTTCTACTATTTCAAACCTGAGAAAGCCAGCCTGGTTTTCCTAACAGACACCGTAGAGTCACAAAGTTGGTACTTCTCAGTGCAAATAAGCCCCTGGAGACAACATATTTAATGACTTGCCTGTCTGAATAGTTGGATCTGCTTCTAAGAATGACCCATGTTTTTGTTCCAGATCACTCTGTTTCCCAACCAATTATGGTTCAGAGAAGACCTGGGCAGGGGTTTCATGTGAATAGTGAAGTCAACTCAGTGCTTTCACCACGGTCAGAGAGTGGAGGACTTGGAGTTAGCATGGTGGAGTATGTGTTGAGCTCATCTCCTGGAGATTCCTGCCTAAGGAAAGGAGGATTTGTAAGTCTGCCTGATTCCAACCTTTGAGTTCCTGTTCTGTTCTTTTCTCCATTTGCTGCTTGGTTTGTTTGTTTGTTAAGCCATTCCTCAAGTCAAGTGTTTCTTCTTTCACTTGTTAGCTCTCAGTTTAGCTCTTGCCTCAGCCAGGCAGGGCAGCCAGGGTAACTGTTGTCCTTCATGTGTGGGATGGGAGATGGAATGGGAAGTGCTGGCAGTCCCTGGTTCCTTGGCTGAGCCCATCAGCAGCAACACCCATCCAAGGTCATTGGAAAAGGTTGCAAATACCCCTGTGGGTTTGACTGTGTGTGTGGCTGCTTTGGTGCTGGCCAAGAGGAAAAACTCCATGCAGTGATCCTAAGAATGGCTCCAAAGCCCCTCCAGCTGGGGCTGCTGTGCTGGTAGGTGGTTCCCATAGGGAAATGGCATCAGTCCCTGTGCTTTGTGGGTGGGGAAGGAGCACAGTTGCTGCCACCTCGAGTTTAAGGGTGTGGGGACAGAGGTGGCATCAGCCCTAGCCTTTAGTGGGAAAAGGGAGTGCTGGATCATCAGTGCCTCATGGGCCCAGGGCTGGGCCAAGAATTGTCACCAACCATCATCTGTGACCTTGATGCTGTGCTCAGCTCTCCAGTGAGCTGTTTGCATCTTCCTCCTTCCCTCCTCTGATTCCTGTCCCTCATTAGTGGCACCTGGGTGAACCCTGAGCTAAGAAAGAGGATTTTGGAGATATGAACAGACAGTCAAGGAGCCAATTTATCCAAACTGAAATTTGGAGAGGTGTCTCCTCTGCAGCACAGACAGTCAGGATGCCAATTCTGACACCAAGGGTCTCACTGCTGAATGCCCCGTGCTGTGGGGGAGAATTGGGCTCTGAATTTGTATTTACAGTTGGCATTTCCAGCTCTGCTCTTCAATACTTAGGAAGCAAGACTGAAGAAACAACATAAAAAGGTTATTGCTTTTAAAGCAATCTTTAATAAAAGTATGAGGGGAAAACTTCCCCTCTCCAATTAGGCTGGAAAAAGGGTTTAGTTGCTGTGTTATGTACAGAGCTCTTTTCCCTCAAATGAAGGGCAAAACAGGGTTTAGGTGTCTGTCCCTGTGACAGCAAAGCTGGCTCTGATAAATATGTTTATATGCCCCTTGCTGGTTTTTATCATAAATTATGTTGTTTGTCCTCTCCCTTTTGTTGTTGCAAACACTGCCCCAGGCATCATCACCCTTTACTCTGCTCCCAAGAGAAATAAAACACAGACATGAAGGGCAGAAATGCTGCAGATTTAATACCACTCAGAAAATGCTCCACAGAACACAAATCCTCTTTTTTTTTTTATTTCCCCCTTTTTTCCCCTCCCTGTTTTTCTCCCAAGAAGAATGTGCTTTAGGATTCCATGAAGCAATGATGTAGCTAGTGATTTATCTGGGTGGTTTCCAATGAGTTTTACTTTGGAATTCAGTGTGCTGGTCACAGTGATGCCCCCAAAACTGAGGTGCTGCTCAAACACATGCACTTGCCAGGCAATAAATGATGTGTGACACTGAGCAGTGACTCCCAGAGAGGCACTAGCTCAGTTTATAGCCCTGCAGCACGTGCTGCTGTTCATTTTGAAGTGCTTAAATCCCATCTAGAAAGAGAATTCTTCAAAATGACTTTGGCTTGGGCTTTTTAGAGCCCTTAGAAGCAAACCCTAAATAGAAGAAACTGAATAGATGAAACCTCTTGGAAACGTTAGAATTAATTCCCTAATTTCTTCAATTATTATTGGCTATTTTGCTTTTCTTCTAAGAGCTAATATTTGCAAGTGACTTCCTTGATTGTGACATGTGTCTTTGATTTGTTCCCATCTCAGGATCAAAGGCAAAATCCATCTGAAAACTAAGCTTATTAAAACAATGTCTCTTTTGCCTAGGGGCCAAGGGATGCAGAGAATGATGAGAATGACAAAGGAGATAAGAAAAATAAGGGCACGTTTGATGGTGATAAATTGGGAGACCTGAAGGAGGAGGGAGATGTCATGGATAAAACCAATGGTTTGCCTGTGCAGAATGGAATCGATGCAGATGTCAAAGACTTCAGGTACGTGCACTGGTAATGAATCAGCAATCACACTGGTGGGGTTTGACCCCAGCCAGCAGCTCTGCACCCCTCAACTAACTGCTGCCTCCCTCCTGGGGGGGATGGGGGAGAGAATCAGAAGGGGCAAAGGGAGAGAACTCATGGGTTTGAGCTGTAAATAGCTGAGAGGGAAAGCAAAAGCTGTGCGTGCAAGCAGAGCACTGCCAGGGGTTTGCTCAACACTCTGGCACTGCTGAGATCCTGCCTGGTTAGGATTGGTCTAGAGCACATGTCCTGTGAGGAGAGGCTGAGAGAGTTGGGCTTGGTTAGCCTGGAGAAGAGGCTCAGGGGTGATCTCATGGCTCTCTCTATCTCCCTGACAGGGTTGGTGAGAGGTGGGGGATGTCTGTCCTGCCATGGCTGCACCCTGTTAGGGTGTGCAGGCACTGGAATATTGCCCAGGGAGGTGGTGGAGTCACCAGCCTTGGAGGTGGATCTGGCACTGTAGGATATGGGTTAGGGTTTTGGGATTGCAGCTGTGACAGGTGAATGGTTGGACGAGATGGTCTTAGAGGTCTCTTCCAACCTTGATGATTCTATGACTGTCAGTTGAGGAGATTGCAGCTGTGACAGGGGAATGGTTGGACGAGATGGTCTTAGAGGTCTCTTCCAACCTTGATGATTCTATGACTGTCAGTTGAGGAGAAAAGAGAGAATGAAAATTTTTTGCACTGCAGGAGGTGTTTGAGGCAGAAGACTGGGGCCTTGTGGGTGATTTTTGGTTTATTTATTTAAATACATAAATTATTCTGTAGCATTAACTTGGGGAAGCTATTTCAAACCATGTCTTTAATTTTTTCTCCTTTTATCAAGCAACCTGCCAGGAGCTGAAGGGGCTCCAGGGAAGCTGCAGAGAGGCTCTGTGTTAGGAACTGCAGGGACAGGACAAGGAGCAATGGGGAGC